GCAATACAATTACTTAATTATGACTCAATACAATTACTTAATTATGACTTCGAATCGAACGCACAGTTATTACGATTTCTAATTACTCAATGTTCGATCATGCTAACGTGATTCTGACTTTACATCACGTTTCACATGATATACGATCATTCTGTGAATCTCCGACATGTTTATTACATGACATGTGTATTGTGCGACGTTCCCTTACACTCTCCTCCATTTAAAATAGTTTCACTGGTTTTTTTGAACTCTTTTACCAAGTCTTTATAATTTTTAAGATTAGTCAAGGATTCCCAAGTAGCATCGTATAGTGGGTGACCTTTCCATTTTACTAAGTACTGTAGATAGTGGTAATACGTTCTTTTGTCTAGTATAGCTTCGACTTCTTGTTCTTCCAGAGTTTCGTTTGTAATATTTTGAATTAACTCAGTGGTTTCTTTGTCTTCATTAGAGTAATATGGTTTCAACAAGGATATGTGGAAAACTGGATAGATACGTAAGGTTTCAGGGAGTTCTAGTCAGTATGCTGTCGTCGATATTTTTTTAATAATTTTAAAGGGACCCATGAATTTTGAGGTTAATTTCTTTGATGGTCTTTTTCTATTTTCTTGTGAAGTTAGGTTTGCTGTATTTAGCAATATTAAGTCTCCTTCGTCTAATTCTAGATAATGTCATTTCTTGTTGGCTTGATCACTTTGTTTCTTCTGAGCATTTACTAATGAATCTTTCGCTATATTTATCATTTCGGTCCAATGTTTGAGCAATTCTTGTGTGGCTTTCACGTTCGTTGTGTTTTTCTTTTCGTTCGTTAAACTTAATGGTGTCCTTGGATGGTGTCCATTATCTAATGGGATGGTGTATATCCTGTGGATCCTTGTAGTGAATTATTATACAAAAATTTTGCTGCAGGTAATATTTCTTCCCAATTATCTTGCTTGTAGTTCACGTATGCACGCAAAACTTCTTCAAGGATTTGGTTGGTGCGTTCCATCTGGCCATCTGTTTGTGGGTGTGCTGCTGTTGACATCTTTAGCTCTGTTCCTATTATTTTGAAAAGACTATTCCAAAATTTACTGGTAAATTTTGGGTCTCTATCAGAAACTATAAAATGTGGTAATCCGTGGTGTTTGAAGATTTCTTTGAAGAAAATTTGGGTGACTTCTGCTGCTGTTGCAGAACTTCTGGTAGGTATGAAATGTGCTTTCTTGTTTAATTTATCTACCACTATCATTATTGAATCGTTTCCATTTCTTGTTCATGGTAGGTGTGTTATAAAATCTATTGACACAATTTTCCAAGATTGCGACGGAATTTCTAGCGGTTGTAGCAATCCTGCTGGGGCTTGTGTCACACTTTTGTTTCTTTGGCAGCTATCGTATTGTCTTACATATTTCTTTACATCTTTGCTCATTTCTTTCTAATAGTAACTTCTTCTTAATCCTTTGTAGATTTTCTCGAATCTGAAGTGCCCGTTTAAGTCGTGACTTTCCTTTAGTAACAGCCTTCATTCTTTGGATTCTTTCGCTATACATAGCCTTTGTTCTTTTGTACCTTCTTTAAAGAACAGTAACCCATTTTCTTTTAGTTCGAATCTACTTACCTGTTTCCCTAATCGTTTGGCTTCTTCGCTGTTGGGATCTTTTAATGCTTTCAAAATTCTTTTAAGGTATTTATCTTTCTTGTATTCTTCTTTTATTCTTTCATACA